GAGAGAGAGAGGGGGGGGCGGCGTCCTCGAGGACGCCGCCCCCCCCCCTCTCTCTCTCTCACACACGCACACACACACACACACACACAAAGAAAGAAATGAAACGGGAATGCATGTTCCCGCGAAAGCGGGAAGACGCGGGAACATGCATTCCCGTTTCGTTTTTCGAAACGATAGCAAGAAGAGAACGGTCGTTTTTCCTATTTCTTTGTTTTTTTGTCTTTTTTTTCCCGTTTTCTTTGCTGTGTACCTTTTGCACGCTCGGATCTTTTTTCTTATTTCTTTGTTTTTTTTTGTTTTTTTTTTCCCGTCTTTTCCGTTGTTCACGTTCTGCACGTTCGGGGTGCCTGCGCCCGGTAGTCCGGGCGTCGGCACGGATCGGCGTACCGGTCGGCCGAGGCTCGGACTCGATAGCTGGGCGAGGTACTGGTGGTTTAAAAGGGCGTCGGCCTTGAGATATCATCATTGGCCGTTCGCCCCCCGCAGCGGCATTGAGCAGTGACTGCTGAAGTTGGTAGGGGGAGGGGACCCGAGGGGAGGCACAGCGACTGGTACATCGAAGAAGCTCGGTCCTGATGCTACAGTCTTCCCGCCAACATAACGCATATGCGGTGTAAAAGAATACAACGTATAGGATGCTTTCTATTTGAGTACAATGCATATGCGTTCTATTCAAACAGCTCTGTCTTTCGAATACAATGCATAAGTGCTCTATTCGAACAGCCCATATTTTCAAATACAATGCATATGGGTTCTATTCTTTTCTTTTTTTCTTTTCTTTTTTTTTTTTTTTAATAACAAGGGCTCCATTCTATTTGTGGGGAGCAGCACATGCTGGGAACCGGGCCCAGCATCCCTTATACACCAAATTGAGGTTTGGGGCCGGGGTCCCCACAGTCTAGCCGGAAAAACGAAACACTGAGTACCAAGTACCGAGAGCTTTACCCGGCTTCGCTTCACTATTCGAATTTTTGCTTTTCCAAAAACTTGAATACAATGCATATGCTTTATGTTCGGGGGAAGACGACCAACCCCTGGCCGGTATAGCCCACCTGCTGTAGCAGGTATCGCACCTGCTGGTGGCTGCAGCTCCCGCATGTTCCTTCGTCGGAGGCTTGAGCATGGATGTGGCTGCTACAGGTTCCCCGCAATACTATAATGACAATAAAAAAAGGCCTGAAAGGTGCTAGTGGTGTCTGCTCATAACAGTACCACTATCAAAAAAAAAAAGAAAAAAAAAAAAGAAGAAGATTGTATCTCTATTCAAACTTGGCTTTGTATTTCAGCAGTTCGTGGGTGTACCAACTGAGCAAGGCCCGTCCCTTCCGTTACCCCGTGAGTTGTGGCAGCATGCAAGCCACATGTTTTAGGCCCTCACACAAGTGAATGCTCCTGCAGGAGTGGCCAGATGCATTACTATTCATAGTAACCACTTTCTTGGGAAGATGCACTCGACAGTGGTGTGGCAAGGCCCTTGTTCTTGGATGGGAATTCCGATCTGTTACCCCCTAGCTGAGCTGTTAGTGGTGGATGCTCGTACCAACACCACTAGCAATCTCAGCCGGTTTAAAAAAAAAAAAAAAAAAAAAAAAAAAAAAA